AAAAACATTGCTATTTCTGTAAATAGGAAGCTCATTTAAAAATAAGAACTCTTAATTCTGAACATTAGCAGCTGAAAACCTGGATAATGCATTAAGTATATCTCCACCGCTTTATTAATTGGAGGGTTTTTTTTTTTTTTTTTTTTTTTTTTTTTTTTTTTTTTTTTTTTCAATTTAAAACACAGCTGCAAAATTATTGAATGGAGAACACAATTCTCTGCGAAAGATATAAGGATGAGTTCGATTTTGAATTTTATGTATGGCCAACATCAACGAACATCAACGTCTTACGATCACTCTTTTATTTTTTTTTAATACGGCTGAAATGCAATTTATTTAATCCAGTTATGTTTTCCTTTTAACTACAGTTTTTTACATAATGAAAATATTGGTCAAAGTAGTTTTCATCAGAAAGTTTTCAAATGTTATCATATTGATTTATTTTCCTTATTTGCTTCAAAATTTTTAATCCTTTCTTCTTTCTTTCGATCGAAAATTTTCTTGTGGCTTTCTTAAACTTAATTTTTTTAAGTGACATTCTCCAGAAATATTATTCTTATTATACCACTCTTGCATTATTACAGCAAAGCAGATTATAATACGCAATTATAGAACAGCAATTATTCATCTTTGAAATCCGTTGGCTACTATTCTGCAATTCTGTTATTTTGCAATTAAGTTTTACGATGTCTTTCCATAATTGCGGTTTACGATAAGCATTCAAAATAGGATAAAGATACTAATAAATGAGTGTCAGTATTTTGTACTGATTATCTCACACCATTTTCGTCAGTTTAAATTTTGTTAATTGACGTAATTGCAGAAACACAATAAACTGTTACTTCTTTTTTACTGTATGCATTTAGATAATAAAGGTAATTGATATTGGTGAAGCACCCGTAAAGATTACAGCCGTCCTCAGGGAGAGGCTTCTAAAATCAGCTGACTTCTATTTACAATTTAGTTGGCAATTTAGTTTATTTATTTTTCCTTTACTTAAAGGATATTAAAAGTCTTAGAGATAAATTTACGGAGGGTATGAAGATCATAGTTTGAAGCAAAATAAAAACGATTGGAAGAAACAACTAAAATGAAATATCTTAACTGTCAGAAAGCTATTGAAAACTTTTATTTTCGATGTAGAGAATCAAATTTTATAGCTTGAAAACACAGAGCCTGAAACTGGATAAAAGTTCACAAGAAATAAAATTTTAAAAAAATAATCTGATCTAAAAGTGTCAGACAAACTAAATCGAACTGTTAACCAAAATGGAAAACTAATAAATTAATGAGTTTATCATGCTTTAAAAGTCAGTCTTTAGATGCATCGCAATCTAATTAAGAAAGATGAGAAGCTATATTACTTAGAGTTTCATTTCAGTGTTCGAATTAATAACATAGATAGAACTGTTAATAACAGACGTAAATATCTTTACATCTTAAAAATTATCGAGCTCCTGAAATAAAATTAAGTAAATAATTAAAAAATTACTTTGATATTTAAAAGATGTCTTAATATGAAAATTCTTGCTTTCTTTTACACCTTGCCAGTTAGTTTTACTGTCCCCTGGTACTTTATTACGTGGTATTTACGTGGTAGTTAAAGTATCGAAATGTTTCAGATGCCATCCCTATCAAATTGAGGCAAGAATGACGTTATTTATAAAGGTTATTAAAATATTTGTGAGATTTACAACTAAATACTGTAATTCAGTTATCCAGTTGGGGAAACAGGAAGTAAGACTAAAAGTGAAGATAATTTGTTTCAGGTTTGTTTCTTCAAAAGGCAGAGCTGGAAAGTTAAAATTCATATCATTACGTTGAATAAAAATCATTCAATAATCCATAATTTAATACTAAAATTTTATTTGTTTTAAGCTTTAATACTTTTAATTAAATTTGTAAAACTAAACGTCATGTGTTATAAGACTCCTTTTTTGGAGTCTTCGAAGTATATTTTTATCATCCTGGATCACAATAGTCAGTTGTCTGCAACTCAGGAGGGCAATTTTATGAAAGATTTAACCAAAAGGCATTTGCAGAATTAACCTCAATGCCGTCATCTGTTTCTGCTGGTATGTTGAGTCTGCACTGTTGAAATTACTTGTTTACATAAAGATTGTACCATCGCAAGCTTAGTCTATTGATATCAGCTACTCAAGTAATCTAATTTTCTGCATATTAATGTTAAAGAGTTTTAAAAGAAGCAAGGAATCTTTATAGGAATATAATACTCATCTTCGCATAAGAACCCACCCATATGTTGTTTAAAAATCATTTTATGAAGCATAATGTAATTGAAATAAATGAAGCTGTGCACTGTAAAAAAAATCTGTAAAGTTACTAAGAAAAGTCGTGGAAACTGGGATGCCATGGATTATTTGAGTAATCAAAACAGGAATTTTCTTAGTAACTTTACAGAGATTATACCTGTAATGGTTACAGATGTTTGACATGTAATGTTACAGGAAGTTATTCTGTAGGCATAACAAAGTTTTTGTATGTTGATTACCGAAGCATATGCCTGTAAAGGTTACAGATCTTTGATCTGTAAATGTTACAGGAAATTATCGTGTAAGTATAACATGGTTTTTCATATGTGATTTACCAATGTAAACATCTGTAAAGATTACAGGAAATAATAGTGTAAGTAGATCGTAATTTTTGAATGTGGAATTACTAAAGGGAATATTTGTAGATTACTAGTGTTCTGCTTGTAAGGTTATTGCAAGTGATTACGTAAGAACATGTATTTTCATGTGAAATTTTAAAGGATATATATGTAAAAGTTGCAGATAATTTACTTAAAAGTTCTTCCAAATAATTATGCATATAGAACATATTGTCTTATACAAAATACAAAAATGATGTATTCCTAAATATTAAATATTTTGATTGTAATATTACTATAAATAATTACACATGTAGAACATATGTTTTATGTGAAATGTCTACAGCTACTGCTTGTAACAAAATATGCTGCATTTATTTATTTGTGGGGAAAGGGAAGTTATGTAACTTTAAATATTAAGTTTTTTTTTTTTTTTTTTTTTTTTTTAAGGAAAAATACCTTAGATTTTCTAAAAGATATACAACATTTTCTTTCAAAATATTTCCAATGTTAAAAAGAAGCTCAAATTTTATGTTTTTCTTACATCTGCATTACTTTCCTTTATTGAATTTTAAGACATCTCAAAGTTACATATGCATCACGAAATAGCTGGAAAAAAAAAAAACTTGTGTATTAGACTTAATGGTTTTTTGGCAATAAATTAGTAATGTTCTAGAATTCCCCCGCTGAACACTGGTAGTTCGGTCCGAGGTTCAAATCCCGCGAATGGGCTGGTTGTATGGGTATTTTCATGGTTTTTCTCCATGTGTAACATGTATATAAGTCAGTTTCCCTTCGAAAGTCCTCCACAAAGGCATTTCTCCACTTAGGCAGATAGTCCTAGTGTGCTTTGCCATACTTAAGTAAACTAAACCAAATCATTCTCCTTATACCCAACAGTGTAATCTAAAGAGACTGCAATTGGATATGATTACAGTAAAAAAATATTTTAATGAAATTGTTTCAATAAACAATTCTAAATATTTTTTCAAATTCTAAAAAAAAATTACTTATGTAACTCAACAATGAACTTAAATTCAGTTATCACAAGTTATCCAAAATTATTTTCATGCTTAATTGCATTATTCATTTTAATTACAACATATAATTCTTTTAGGCATAAATGCTTTTTAATCTCTTCTGCTACTGACCATTAATTGAAATAATAGATTAATTAATCGGACAGTTGTACAGGTATTTTCCCAGATTTAAAACTTTATTAATAAATTACATTCTTCTCATTGAATACAAAATTGAAGAATTAGTTAGTCCTAAATTTAATTTTTCAAGTATTCCTTCTACTAAAACATTTATTGCCTACAGGCAGCCAGACAGTAAGCTGAACACTAGCATTTGGCTCTAGATTTAAATCCTAGAGAATGGGCTGCCTGTGTAAATGTTTGTGTAACATGAAGTTTTCCTTAAAATATTCCTTTCCTTGGACAGATGGCCCTCTCTTGCTTTGTCATATTTCAAATAATCAATTCAAGCATTTAATGTAGGTATGACTTCACAACTTCGTCCCAAATTCTAACTGAAAAATTGAACAGAATCCCCTGATACTGTGTCTATAATACATGATGAATATAGAATGATCTTAAAAATTTAAGGAAGAAAATATAATGTATTTGGAAATGCCTTGATCCTATAATTATATTTTTCTCTGCTATGCCTAGAAAATTAAGAAAAGAATGTAAAAACTGAAGATAAAGAATTCAGCATTAATAATTGATATGATAGTAGTAATAAACTAAAAATTTTTTAATGAAAAATTGATAATGCATAATGGCTCCTTAAAATTTTAATTTTCTATCCTACTATTAATGGAACTAATTTATCACTATAATCAAAATGACTCAGATTTTCTTTCTTTAACTGATGTCAAAAATACGATGATTATTTCAAAATTCCTGTGGATGATTTAATTGTTCTCAAAATTTTCTATTCATTTATTAAATGGTTCAGATTAATGTTTTTGTTATCATTATTTCAAACGACTTTTTAAATCTTCGGGAAAAATGTTTAAATCTTCATTCAACAAAATTATATTTTTAGATAGATTTTTATGGAATAAAAAATTCTGTAAGATAATATTCATTCACACAAGATATTAACTTAGTATTTGCTCATTACTTTACAAGTATTCGATGAAGCCTTTTAGTGTAACATACAGGTTACATAAGGAACCATTTCATTTTAACGTAATATTCCATAATCATATATTTTATTTCAAAAAATATCATATTTTGAAAATATTGGATATTGCAATGGATTTCGACTCTTTATTCCAATACACAGAATATAGAAACAAAAATAGGTTTATTTTTATTTGAAAACTATCCAAAAGGAAAATAAAAAAAAAAAATAGGTAAAAATTTATTATTGTTATTTTTAATTAACTAGTTGTGAAGGTGCAGTCCTCTTCTTCTTAGGATTCAAAGCATGGCTCCTAAATAAAGAAAAAATCACATTCGTTAGAAGTACATAACATATTCTAAATTTGTTATGTGACATTTTAATTTAGAATCTCTTCATAATAATTGCATGCACTTGCACATATTCCAAATGATTTAAATCTTTTTTTAAATTAAATAATTAAATTGCAAACAAGATTCCTTTTGGTCCTTTCATGAAATCATAAATTGCATGTATCATCCATTTTTGAAGCAAAAACAGTACAAATTTAAATAATTCATTTTGCAGAAAATAATTTGAGGTTTATTAGATATTTACTATATTTATTTGTAATATAAAATAAATCTGTAAAGTAGTTTTAATAATGATCAGATTTTTTTTAAGATTAATTTCTCTAGAAATTGAAATGTATTAAGGTAGCACTTCTCAATCTGTGGATCATACAGCTTGCCCTCATGGTCCTCCGAAGTTTCCAAAGGAGACAAAAAAATTTAGTTGAAAAATCTCAGAGTTTAAAAAGTTACATATGACAATCATCTATCACCTTTTCTCGTAAGATAGACATTTTATGAAATTTATTATTGGTTACCCTACTTACAGACTTCCCACTCAGTCTTAGCAGTAAAAGATGGATTTAAAGCACTATAACTGTGGTACTTACCACCATATATCCAAATATACTATCATATATCCACTAAGACTGTGGTCTTACCATCATATATCCAAATATAGAAGAGCCATGCAAGAATTACAAATCATCCTTCTCATTAATAATCTTGAAATATTAGAAATATAACTTTTCTTCAATGGACTTAATTATGAAATATAACGGATTTTAATTATATATTAAAATATAAGTGTACTAGTAGTAATATATGCTAAAAAATTGCTTTCGAAGGGAACAGCAGCAAGGTGATTCACAAATTATGATAATTCACATAATCTCTATTCGAAAAAAGTTTGAGAAACGCTGAAACAGGAGAATAATTAAATTATGGTTAATACTGGTAATTTCAGCCATATGCTTTAAGCTTGATGATCAACATTAAAAAATTCTCAGAAAGTGTTAGATCAAAAACTACTTTTCCACATAATATGAACTTATACGTAACAGCATTTAATACTTAGCTCACTGGCAAAATATACAAAATTTTGAAATGCAAGTATATATATATAAGGCCAATAATATAGTTATCAACAATTAATGCATGAACTTCAATACTTACACAATTAACAAACAACACATGAACAATGATGTTACATGCATTCATCCTCTGAATTAACTAGTCAGTTTGGGTATTTTCTATCATAGATGTCGCAAAAATTGATCGTGGATTTAATATTTTAAATGTTCCTCTCATAGACATTTTAATACTTGTATTTTTTACATAGAGTGTCATCTTTAGTTTTACAGATATTCATTTTGTTCACTTATTACGATTAAGTTTTACAGACAGAACAGATGATACCTGATTACATTAAGTGGTATTTAAGACAAACTTACTTACTGGTACTTAACACAGTTGCTAGAAAAATATTACATAGTGAAAGACAGGGTACAAAGTCAGAATCTGAAAACTTATTGACTTACACTAAGCTATTTAATGCTTGAAATATTTATGATTAGATAATATCTTTTACATCATCAATATCTAACAGTGATATGATATACTTTAAGTATACAGTAAAACCACTCTATAACTTTTCCATAATTTTGTACAATTTTGATATTTAATGGAGGTGGTTACTTCACAAAGCATGATTCTCAGTGATAATTAATATCAATGTTTGTATCACCAGAATACTTGACATAATCACTTAAAGAGGTATAGTTGCTAAGGAAGGTTTTTCTATACTTCAAACAATGGTTTACATATTTTAAAAAGTATATTTTTTCTGACACTGTTATTTAAAAAGTGTATAACTCCTTCTACTCTTAAGCATAAAAATTTGAAATTTTTATGCTTAAGAGTCATTCATTTAGTTGTAACTTACAGGAAGATATCTTAAATGCCTAAAATGTTTTAATTTATGAAAAACAGCAGTTAGAGTATATTGAAGGGTGCTCCCTGTATTATCAAGGGAGCGCAAGTTTGTGCAATTCTCTGATGTTTTCTTAAGTGAAAATAGGTCGATGTGTACATGGATAAAGTCAAGGGAGTGCGCGATGCCAAGTTTGTACAATTCACAGATTTTTTTTAAGTGAAAATAGGTCGATGTGTACATGGATACCGAGTATGTGCAATCTGTCTTCGTGTAGCGGCGGTTTTTGGCACACAAATCGTCGCTACACAAGCCAAAATAACATGGTCAAAGAATTGCACAAACTCGGTATCCATGTACTGCCAAAAATCGCCAAATTTTGCCAAGGGGCACCCATAAATATGCTTTTACCAAAACAAGCTTTAAGGCATACTGTCAATTACATTTTAAATTCCAGTGATTTTTCAACACTAGTTCAAATACTCTAAGCATATGTTTGCATAAGTTACATAACTTTTGCATCAGCAAAATTTATAACTTAGCAAATATGAACTATGAAAAAAAATATTTGAGCTTACCTTGACCCTTGGATTTACTAAATCTATGACACTTTTAACGCCAAAGAAATTCGATGACCGAAAATACGCGATGATTTATTTAATCTGGTTTTAAAATGGGTCATTTTAAGTTTGGCTATATCAACAACATATTACTCAGTATTGTTGGATAGTGAATTTGTAATTCTTTTTCATTCTTGAAATATATACACATGACAGAATTGGAATAAAAATTTTAGGTTTTTCAGATGAACTCATAGATTGAACTAATTTGTTGAATTTTATCAAGTAGTTCTTAAAAATACAACCAACGATTAATTAAAACCAACTGCAATTCAAATGGATACTCTTTGTCAAAAAGGAGCAGTAGAACTTATTTTAAACATTCAGCAATAAATAGTTTTCTGAATATATTTTTTAGCGTAACGGCAGTTTCAAACATAATAAAGAGAACAACATTCATTCTAATGAGGATAATTTTGAAAATAATTCACATTAAAATATATCTGAAAGAGATTTTTAAATGAAAAGATGACACAAAATAATTATTTTCAAAAAAATACATGTTATCTCAGATATAGAAGAAATTTGGCATTGAGCTGAGTATTGAAATTAATATATGCAACTGACGTATCATTACTAATATTTCCATGATTTGATATTGAATGCTATAACTATTAAATATTAGCAAATGCATTTTATAATGAACTTTGCACCAAAATTTATAGTAAATTTATATGTAAATTTACATTGTAAGTACTAGAATGAATGTTGTACCATTTTATTAATATTTTACTTTTCAACAAGCATAAAGGAAAAAATAGAATTTTTTTTTCTTTAATGTTCCTAGTATGTTACATCATAGTTAAAAATATGTCAAAGTCACGGCATTTCGATTGCCTTTTGTAAATGTTGGTTATAATGTAACTTAATAGATGCTTTATAAGTTGGTAAAGACTGTCCTGGATTAAAACTATCTTTAACACAAAAAATAATATACATTGAATACTTTTACAAATATGTAATTGCTATCCGACTATATAATCTTTTAAGGCGAACTTATCGCATGTATTAATGAAATGATATTCCATTTTTAATGTATGTTAAGTTATTTTGTCGAATTTTTTAAATATATTACATTTATTTTTTCTTTTTCGTTGAGATTAATAATAACATACATAGTGTAATAATGCTCTGAAAAATATTCTAAAGCAGTTCACGCTGGGATTAATGATAACATGTATGGAATAATAATGTTACATCTGTCAACAAAATGAAAAATATGAATATTCTAACGCGATATGTTTTAAAAGATACATAAATATTTAACATGAGAAATTATTAGACTATAGATAGAACATTAATATTAAGCTTATTTGTTTTTAAACTAACATATTAACAAATTTGTTTCTGTTTATAAATATGAGCAGTTTAACTGCAGACACCTGCAGATGTAACGAATAAAAGTTGTTATTTTACTAAATGGAACACAAGCTCTGTGATTTGAACTCTAACAATAATTCAACACAGGTTTATTTAGGAGCATTAGAATTATAAGCTAAACATTAAAAGAATTTAATTATAGATAGTGTAAAGAACATAACAAATACATTACATAAAATTAGTAAAATACACGTCAAACACTATTTCGAACTTACCTCGACCATAGCAAAAATAATGGCTAACATGGCGACTATCGTTGAACTCTCCCGCTAAGACGCTGTTTTTCCACCTTCTTCCTGATTGGTTCTTCTCTCTCAGCCGTTTTAAGCCACGTGATCACACGCTAGGGACAAAATCCAAGCAAAACTTCTTGAAAAACTCCTGTAGAGTTTACAGTTTCGTTTGGTTCTGTGTTCGTTACAGGTATTTCCTTCGTAATTGTTCGCATTTCTGTAACTATACAAGACTTTTGTCTGTAAACTTCGAGGTTTTTTTTTACAGTGTGGAACTTATTTTTTTAGCCGGAGAAAGTGAGCTAGTACCGACCATTTCAAATACTAACAATTTTTGTCATCTACTATGATGCCTCTGAATACGTGTGTATCCGGATATGACATTTTCAGATACGAGTCTGCGTTCGAGTTATCTTTTGTATCGGGATACCAGCCCACGCGATAGTCTTGGTGGGCCACCACTATAGTCTGATATGTTAAAATAGGAACTTCAGATTTCTTCTGCCTTCCGACTTCAGAGTTAGCTTCTTCAGAGTTATGTTCTGTCTTTCGACTTGCCTCGTAATAATGGATCAAAGCTGCAGCAGACGATTTGAATCACTTTATGTTTTCCTCCGTTTAATTTCCTCTTAGGGCGTTTAGCTTTATTAGAATTGCACGAATGAAGGCTGACTTGAACTGCAATTTCAGATGAAGTAGAGAAAATAAGCGCTTTGCGGTGACGACGACACGCGTTACAATCGCAAAAGGAAAGCGCTCGAAACGGCATTGAAGCGCTTATTTTAAACATATAGATAATGATGTTAACAAAGAAAAGGGCAAGGTCGCTCATTCAGTTCACTTGATTACCTTGTACTAGACGCATCTTTAATTTCCTCTTCGCTTTCACGCATTCTTCATGTGTTTATGCAGTTATTTTGCCATTAATATTAAGATATATTTATAACAATGTGTTCTAAGAAAGCGAGTAATGGGAAAAGCGGATATTGACCCTAAAATTAAAGCGGGAAATCGTAACAATCATTACAAGGTGTGCATTCAGTCGACTTGGTCAAGCAATTTGAATGTAATATGTACTTCTACGATATATACGATAACGAAGCTGAAGGAGATAGTAAAGGCGAGAGGCATTATAACAATATTGAAACAGCAGACGTCTTTAAATGAAAACATGGAGATGCTGATGTTTGTGTGGCTGAAGAAGCAACAGCTCAAAAGAGATACTGTGATCGAAGCAGTTATCTGCGAGAGGTCATGAATTATATTCGCTAGTTTATTGGAGACTACTACAGGCTCTTGAAATACTGAATCTGAAGAGGCGTTAAAGGTAAATAGTAGCTGATACGAAAAGTTTAAAAGAGAAACTAAAATTCTCACAGTAGCCATAGTGAAGCAACGAGCTCAGACATGAAGGCAGAGCAAGAGTTCTTAGAAACTTTAGTGGCACTGACAGCAACCTTAGAGTGCTTTCCCCGAATAATCTTCAGCTGTGATGATACAAGGCTATTATGAAAGGATTTATCCCAAGGAGAACTTATATAACGGTGCAGATAACACAAAGATACCAGAACACAAATCCTTGTAAGAAAGTCTAACCCTCGCAGTATATGTAAACGCCAGCTCCAAAATAAAGCCATTGCTCGTATACCATTTTAAAAATAAGGGCATTTAAGACAGATAAAATTTATTTAAAAATTTCCAGGTTATGCGTAAGGGAAACTTGGATGTCATGGTTCATGGGTAACCAGCCAGTTCTTTGTAAAGTAGATCAACCATGCCTTTGATCCTGCTGTTATAAACTACTCACAAGAAAATAACTTTCACTTACTTCCCTTCTCTTCTTACATGCTTCTGCGTATTCATTAAATCTCGAAGACAACATCTTCGAAGGGTTCAACAAAGTTTTTTTGCCTTCCACCCAAAATCATCCCTATCCTACAGGCCGTAAACTAAAAGGTGATTTCAAAATTTAAAAAAAAATTCTTCACCAGGTTCCTGATTTGTCTCTTCTTTGATGTGACTAGAGCACCAAACAACGTATTCACGAATTCTGAAAGGATCTTTATAATATTGCAGCAAGCCTAAGAATTATTGATATTGTACCGCAGAGTAATTCAAAGAGAGTCCTTGAACTCTGCGTAGAAGTTGTGGCGTAAGGCTGTATCCGAAAGGGATTTTGAAAGATTTAAATCCGAAGTCGTGGAGGAAGTGCTGGAGGAGATTATGGGCCCTCAGAAAGACCATGGCTCTGGAGGTGTATAGAGGAGACGTAAATGAATTCGTTGAGGATTCCTCAGAGGTATTTTATGACCCACAGTTATATGCTCGAGGAGCATGAAAATGCTTTGAAGGAAATTAATAACGAGGAGGAGGTGGTAGGGCCAAAGCGTACTCTTAATTTGAAATTAATAACATTATGGACATATTTGCTGCAGTTGCCGAGTTCATTATAAAAGGTGCATCATGTCGCGCAATAGAGCTATTTCAGTTATAGACTTATTTAACACATTTACAAATATTCTTAAAGTGGTGGAAGAAACAAACTTTCTTTGACAAGTTTTTATGCAAACACACTTTAATGAAAGTGAGAAAACAGAGGAGAAAAAGGTAGCAAAACCCAGGAAAGAATAATGAAGGCATAGTGCTAAGTTAAATACAGTATAGTAATAAAAGTTCATAAAATCAATTTATTTTTCACATTATGAACATCGTTTTTATTCTAAACTATTCTAAATTATTCTATTACCTATTCTATTATTAACTTGTCTAACTTATTCTCAATTGTCATAACTATTCTGAAACCTCTTCTGGAGAAAAGGAATCGTCTTACCGAGACTCACAACGAGAATGGACACAACTCAAGGTCCGAAATTAACAAGATCAATGCAGAAATAAAGACTGCCTATGTCCATCTAAAGAGATCAAGATTGAAAGAAATGTGTAGCAACCTTGATGCTAGGACATCCAATTCAAAACTTAGGAGATTGGTCAAGAGCATAAATAAAGAACAGGACCAGTTCAACATGTATATGGCTGGCTTGGAGAAAGTGTCTTCTTCGGATGTAAGAATTGGAATATTTGCAGACGACATTGTTCTCTGGAGCTCTGACACCAATATAACTGAAATAGAGCTGCACAGCTGAAACTCAATAATTCTCTGACAGCTTTGTCAAACTTTGCTGCAGAATTGAAACTACGTTTTAACCCAGCCAAATCAACTGTTACTTTCTTTACAACAAATATTAGGCTAAGCTTAATAATCAGGAACTTACGTACGAGAAGAACCCAAAATATCTGGGGATTATCCTGGGCCCTGAATTCACATGTCACAAGCATATTGAACATATTGTTCTAAAAAGTAGAAAGCTACCAAACATTCTTAAATACATTGCGAGTAAGGACTGGGGAGCTGATGCGACTACCCTCAGGACTACTTATTTGACACTTATAGGTCCCATACTCAAGTTCGGGTTTCCAGTTTATTGTTATGCCTCGATTCCAACCTGAAGAAATTAGAAAAAGTTCAATTAAGTGCTGCCCGTATTATTACTAGGATGAGGCGCTACTGTCCTATAGAAATAACCCTTTTTGATGCCGATTTACAGCCTCTTCAGACTAGAAGTTTAGCTAGTCTAGTAAAATACTTTAACAAACTCTCTAGTCATGGCCAATTTAATAAAATTTCAGCGCACCTAAGTAAATGGAAAAACCGACAAAGACTAAAGAAAAACACCCCTTTTGGCCGAGTTGATTCCAAGAGCCTGCTGTTCTGCAATGTTGACCTCATTCATTACATTACTGTTTAAACCCATCAGACGAATCTCCAGGGTTAACTTTCGCTGTAACTTTTCCACGCTTATAATTAAGAAAGATTATATTACTGACCACTTTAGACAGTTAACCTTGAAGTACAATATCCCCAAAAATGCTATCAAGATCTTCACTGACGGCAGCAAAATTGCTGACTGTGCAAGTAACGGAATTTATATTGAGACCCTCACCGAGGGAAAATGGCACTTCGTCAACGTAATCCAGATCACTGTTTAGTTTTCAGAAATGAACTGATAGCATTCAATTTAGGACTCGAGGGTATACTAACGGAAAATAATTTTGAAGATCTATAGGACCTATCTGATAGCCGAAGCTCACTCCAACATCTTAGTAACTGGATTTACGTGGGCGATAAGACTAGTATCTCCGTCCTACAAAAACTACACCTAATTTCTCAGCATCATGATATCTATTTTCAGTGGATCCGATCCCATGTGGATCTTTACGGCAGATAAATTAGCAAAGGTGGGCTGGGGACTTCTAACTTCCTCCTCTTCCGCCCTTACTTATCTGGAATTATTTTCTCTGAAAACATCACAAATCATGATGAAGTGGTTGGTTCCCCCCACCCATCTCTGGAATCTGGGCAGGAAACCTGGTTGGACTCTAACGCTTGAGTGTGACAGGTGCTCCCGAACTGCTCTCTCGCGTATCGCCAGCCGTCATAATATGAGCCTCTCTTTCAAGGAGGGCATGAAAATCTTTGCCACATACACCAAGTGCCGAGAATATCAGGCGTCTGCCGAGCACACATTAAGCTGCTTGAGCCTCTCTAGGGAAGACATTTACTCCAGTCCCCTCCTTGTGCTCGACTTTCTTAGAGTCAACGGTCTTTTGGATCTTGTCTGACTTCGTCAGAAATCGGAGAGAAAGCAACAGCAACAACATTTACATTTACATTTTTATTACGTGTTTCTATTATGTTTCATAAAAATTTCATCAGTTTTCTATATAATGTAGTGCATTCGTTTAATTAAAAATTATACCAAAATTTTGAGAAGGTTATTTGAACAGATGGAACGAATTAACGGTATTTAAATGTATTTTAATCAGGAAAATTATTTCAGGATACGACCGGCCCACAGAACGAATCAAACTCGTATATTGAGGTACCACTGAATATGGAAAAAGTAGAAAATTAACTAAGTCTAAAAACTAAAATAAACTAAGCCTGGTTTAATCGGAAAAAATAAAACTTTGCTAAGAAAATACTTAAAAAAAAAAAAAAAAAAAAAATTACGGTGCAATTTAGGCAAACAGTAGTTTTTCCCTTCACTTAATAAAAATGGAACGCTACCTTTTCTTTTTTCCATATCACTCAACAGAAGGCCTTAACTTTCACTCAGAGTGAGACAAATACAAAAGGCAAGATAATTGATCTGTCTGGGCACAATTATTTGTTTCTGGAGAGGAAAGATCCCTTATTTGTTTATCAAAATACGCTGATAGGTTTAGTTGAAATCAGGATCATAGAAACGCTTAAATTTAACAATCATTAATATTCAGATTGGCTTGTATATCAGATTTGAATCTACCAGAACTTCGTCATCGCACAAGGCGATTTTCTTGAAAAAATTTTATGTTCTGCAACAAAAGTTAACTACATATAAACAGTATCAATAAATTTTCTTAACGTGCAAAAAAATCTACTTACATAAAACACTGAATTCCTTTGAAACTTGATATTCCAAAACGCACACATTATCACGCAGCAGTATATGTTCTTGCGCATTTTCTTGATCTAAATTTTTTCGCTTTCTATCACTGTGAAAAGGCACTGAAAAATAAGAGTATAGCGATATGTATTACCTTCCTTTTTATGCCAGATTAGAAAATATATATATGTAAAAAAAAAGGTATGGTAATCAAAAATCTAACTTTAATTTGCCATAGTTCCTTAATTCTCTATTTTAATTTGAATACTTCCCCTTTCTGTTCCCAAATTGGTAACTGCTTATAATCACTGCGTCATTTCGAAAATAATCACTGCATATGATTCTTTCACAACACTAATGACACAGAAGTTTACATAAAGCTTCAGACAATAATAATTTTAGAAAATCATTAGCTAACCAATCACTGTAAACCAAAACTAAAACTAAATTACTCAATTATTCTAAAAAGATAGTTAATCTTAGGAATATTGCATACTCTCACTCGCTCCCGTCGTGCCAATTTGCTTGCGTTCCGTTGCTGTACTTTTTCCAATCCATCGAAAATTAACTGTCATGAAGACGTAGGTAAAGCACAAATGTGATCAAGAAAGGCGGCACATTTCGCGTCCATTACGAAGTATATTTACGATAAGAATGTACTTCTCATGAATAAAGAAAATCCAAATCGGCCACTGTGGCTGCTAATATGGAATTAATTTATTAATCTTCATGCCAAAAACATCTCAAAGTTTTTCATACATGTATGTGTGCACATATATATAAAATCTGATAGTTAGTATTTTAAAAAGGATAAAGGAATTTGTTCAAAAGCTAAAGGATTTTAAAGTAAACATATCACATTCATAATTTTATTTATTTCATATATAAACTAAAGCTCATTTATTACTATGAATTTTTTCTTTCTTAAAATCTTTTCCTTAAAAAGCGCGTTAAATTTTAATTGATATGGAAATTATGCCCAATTAGCCTAATTGTTTCAATTTCTGATTTAATTTAGATGTAAGTGAAGGTAAAATAACTTTTATTGACTTTCTGGAAGACGGTTTTATTTCCAAGCTGGAATTCTCCAAACATAAAGAAAGCAATAGATATATGCAAGATACATTGCAGTTTTTATAGTTCTTAATTATTTATATCCTTTCAAAAAAGAATAAATTTCCGGGTTTCCTTCTATGAAACTGTAATCAGTCTTTAACACTACGAAATGTCACAGGATATTTTCATACAATAAATGAAATGACATAATGATGCTTTCATGCTTAATCAAGGTTTCTTTGCTATAATTGAGGTCGTTACATGCTAAAAGCGATGCAATCTGACGTCTATCTGCACGCGTTACAGATTGTATTCTAATAAAGCGTTTAAAATCTCAAAGGACAAGCGTCTTAAATATCGTAAGTCCTTGGTGTCGCTAATAAATATTCGGGCTAACATTATTTGAAATGGACTTAAATGGACAATTATTATATAATAAAGTTATAATTATTGTTAGTAAAGTTTTAATTATCGTATAATAAAGTTCTTTTCTTTTATGTAGCTATCAAATGAATGATGCACAAAGACTTAGATTTAATTTTAGCTTTATAAATTAATGTGATAAAGAAAGGTTTAGATCAAGAATAATCAGTGGAGTCCTTACTGACAGCCCGGGTGTCGATGACATGTTAAAGGAAGTCAATGATGAACAAGGGATTGAGAGCGGAATATACACTGGAAATTGATTGCCATAATCAGGCTTCCATTAATCACAAAAGTTTACTAATGGGATTGTTAGTTAATTCTTTATTAAAATATTTGATCTGGACATCATATGACTTTCTTATACGGAAGATTAAATTATATACACGTTTTGCTGCATTTCATTTAAACTTATTTCCTCGAATTCCATTAGAGCTATATTTCTCATTCCATTAATTAAGTTCCCACTCCGCGGAAGTGGAAAAGTACATAAAATCTCAAAGTATCTTCATTAAAAATTGCAAAGTATAATAAATAAAGAATAAAAATAAAAACAAAAAATAAAAATAAAACGCTAAATACAGTTAAAACAGTTTAAAAAATTCTTTTGTAATTAAAATTAGAGTTCCTCTGCAAAAGCATGTTCCAGCGGGCAAGAATGTAGCTTTTTCGGTGCACAAAATTTAAATTTTACTTTTGGTCCCACTCCACGAAATGACACTGAAGTTGGAGCAGAAAATGACTTAATACTAACAAAATAAAATTGAGCAGCATTTAAGCTTGCACTATATAAGAAAGTAAAAAGCATGAATACAAATAAATAAATAAATAAATAATAATAGAATGCAAAACTTTCGCAGAAATTTGTTATTTAAAAGTAAATTCTAATATTCGCTTCCGAGAACGCTTTAACTTGAATGTACCAGCATGGCTTATAAAATTGTTGATGTGCGATATATCTGATCTTGACACTATGATCTAAGTAAAGTTCATTACATTGAAGGAGAATTTTCAAGCACATCTCTTTTTCAAAACATGCGGATACGCAAAGTTTGGGAATTAAGAAGTCATCCAAGAGAACTATCCCAAATAAATGTAAAGCTGCTACAGAACCAACATTACTGACTTGACCCTCTTCTTACCTAGTGGAAAGAGGCTTTTAGTCAAATTAATAATTTACTACAGAAAATAAAAAGGTTGAATGATTTTTAGGTATGTGAATAAACAAACCATACCAATTTTATTTCGGACATTATAATAATGTGTAATTCTTATATTGCGTAAAGTTCATTCTGAATGTAATGTGATTAGATGACAGAATAAATCACCCGTGATTCAAAGCCATAAATTAGCGCTGTTTTAACCATAAAGCAAAATAAGCACGTGATTAGTGCATCAATTAAAGGGGCGCCACAAAAAGGTACTTAGGGACTCGGAAAAAGAAACATCACCAAAATTTCTCATTGCCAGTTTTATCAAGGAATGTATCGTGTAGCTGAAAATCGAGAGAAAAGGAACGGGGGAAAAATTGGCATAAATGTATGTGGAAGAATCAAAAATTTTAAAATCCTGTCCTGCAGAAAGTACAGCATATGAAAAGATAGCAGTTCTTCTGTGACTTGTCTTTTACCTGTGTGAGTGCATTTGCGAGTGTTCTGCTTGTGCAGTATTACTTTATCTGCATCTTCACCTTGCAGAATCTAGCTTTAGTCGTTACAGTACCATTTACTAGTGAAACTGGTAATGAACTTGACATCATAAAAATACAGGGGTTGGACAAAAATATGGAAACACCTTTAAAAAAACATGTTTCTTTGCTTAATATGGTGTAGGAAACCCGTTGGCATCCAAAACAGCTTGCAGTCTTCTCGGAAAGGATAAATACAGTTCCTGTATGTTTGCCAAGGGAATATTATATCATTCTTCCTGCAAAACGGTGGCAAGTTCAGATAACAATGTTGGCGGTGGATAACGAGAACGCACTTTCCGTTCCAATGTAGACCACAAAGGTTCGATAATATTCAGGTCTGGTGACTGTGGTGGCCAGGGGAGATGGGACAACTCACCCTCGTGCTCAGAAAACCAGTCCTGGACAATGTTAGCTGTGTAAACAGGGGCTTTGTCGTCTTGGAAGACACCATCACCATCGGGGAACAAAGTTTGTACCATGGGATGAACTTGATCGGCCAAAATGTTCACATAAGTCTTAGCAGTCATGAGCCCTGACACAGTTATCATGGGGCTAGCAGAGAACCACGATATGGCTGCCCAAACCTTAACAGAACCCCCGCCATGTTTCACTCTTGGCAACAAGCAGTGTGTATTATAGGCTTGAGATGGCGTTCTCCAGACGTAAACTCGGCCAGAAGTGGGAAAAACAATGTGAAAGAAGACTCGTCAGACCATTATTACTCGCTTCCACTGCTCTATAGTCCAGGCTTTATGACTTAAACACCACCTTTTCCTGTTACGGGCATTAGCATCACTGATGAGTGGCTTCTCAATTGCAGCACGGCCAGCAATTCCCTGTTTATGATGCTCCCTTCTAATTGTTTTGGTACTCACAGGGTTCGGTAACACAACATTCATTTCAGCAGTAACTTTTGCAGCTGTGGTCTTCTTATTTTTCGTCACATTTGCCCTTAATGATCGTCTGTCACGATCACTCAGGACACACTTTCGTCCGTGCTGTGATTTAGCAGATGATGTTTTTTTCCGCTTTTTCAAATATGCGGAATAATAATCTTCGACACAGTACCTCTTGAAACACTAAACACCTCGGCTACCTTGCTTATGGAAGCACCTACCATACGTGCTCCAACAATTTGCCCACGTTCGAAGTCTGTTAACTCTGACATAATGCAATGACAACCTCACATAACAGTACTCCGACAACAACTGAACTGTTTAGCACATTTACGAAGTTGTATAGGTGGCGTCAGTAGTCAAAAACGCGAGCGCCACCTACACATTTCATTAAAATCAATCTTTCTTTTCAAACATGCATTTCATAAGGTGTTTCCATATTTTTGTCCATCCACTGTAGATGATCTGGATCTACCGTTGCCAAATGACGATTTTAGAATCAGGTATTAAAATCCTGCTGATCGGCAAATACGTATATCAGTCAAATAATAGGAGAAACAACACGGAAAATTAAAAGGTACTTTAGTGATGTCGTCCAACAGATACATAATTATGGAATAGCAGATGATCCTTTTAAAATACGCATATTGAAGCAATAATATGCATACTGAAGCACTGAGAAGGGTATACTCCTGTTCGGTAATTTCAAGCAACTCTTTCATATTTTTACCATATTTAAGTATTAGAAAGAAAGAGCAGAAGTTGACAGCAAGCTAATAGGGGAGAAAAGTGCGAAAGAAATGTGCTGATTATACTTTGAATGTCTGGATCTGTCATTTTGTTTTTATTCACCTTGATTTTGACTGGTTGTTTTAATTTTCAGTCCCAAAAATTTTAAATTATTAATGGCTGAACGTTTTTATATGTATCTACGCCTTTAGCATTATGTTAAAAACCACATAACACTGATTAATTTCGAAATGAACCAGTTTAGAGAGATTTATTTTGAGCAGTTATTAATTTTAGGTTAGAAAAGGTAAATAACAAAACTTGAAAA